CACACACACACACACACACAATCAGTTTTATGTTGTTCAGTCTTTTTCTCTATTGTCTGTTCTTCCTGTGATTTTTTCTAACTTCTTTTGTGTGCCCAACTGAGCACCCTTAAGTAGTGCCAAACAGTCGGTGGTCCCTCGTTTGGAGTGCCAACTGCACTCTTAGGGGGGCTGCTTGGTTCGGGGCGTCTGTGTTGCCTGTCGGTGATGACGGATGTTCGGCGGAGTGACTCCCTGGCTCTTTGGGTGGTGGGAACCAACAGTCTGCGGTGTTCACCCGTGATGTGAGTAGGTCATGTGCTGCTTTGCTCCGTGTTGGATGTGTGGGCTGCCTTGTGCTGTCTGCACGTCACCGTTGCCTTGCTGCCTATCCCGCTTGGGTCACGTCCTGTTCGTTGTGTGCTGTTACGTTCGCTGTGCAGTCTGGTTGTGGTAATCGTGTTGCCTTGTGCTTCGCCGCTGCTTCCAAGCTGTCCATTCATGTGTCGTGCCTTTTGGGTTCCGAGCTTGTGTGTCGTGTAGTGTGGTGGTCGTGTGGTTGTTGCCTTGTGCTTCATTACACGGGCGCTGTGCTGTGCCTCCACTTGCGGTGTTGTTCCTTGCAGCCGTCTGTGTTGTTCTGCAGTTGAGTGACTTCTGATGCGTTGCCTGGTGCTTCGCAGGGTTGTTTTCTTGCTGCCGTCCGCCGTTTGACGTGTTGTTCCTTGCAGTCGTCTTTGGTGTTGTGCGGTTGAGTGGCTTCGGGTGTGTTGCCTGGTGCTTCACACGGGTGCCGCTCGCTGCTATGTTCCGCTTGTGGGCAATCTGCCTTCAACAAGGGTCAAAGGGTTCATGACCAAAAACATCCAAAGCCAGAACTCCGCAGATTGTCGAGGGTTCAGCCTCCTGATGAGTCGGTGCAATTTCGACGAAACAATCTTGTTATCATCAGTTTATTTTTTTCGGTCCTTCGACTTTCTTGGGACTTGTTTTTTTTTTCAGTTTGCCTGTTTCCGTCGTGGCTACTTGTTTCTCAGCTCACTGTCTTTCCCTTGTCCTATCGTGTTCTTGTGACCGCCCGCCTCCCCCGTGCCCCTCCAGCCTGTGTTTTGTTGTTGCTTGTCGTTTATGTACGTCATATGTCTCCCCAGTATATCTCCTGTTTGTTATTCCCTTTCCCTTCCCAATGTGTTAGTCTGTTTCACTTCAATAGTAGGGTGTTGGGCTTCTTGCTGTTTGCTTGTTTTGGTCATGCCATACGAAGTGGACGATTTATTTCTTGGTGTGTTGCTTGATGTGCTATTTCCGCGCAGTTCGCCACATCTTTTCACGTGGGGGTTTCGTCTCATATCACACACACACACACACACACACGCTTACAGGGGGCTTCTTCAAGAGAGAGGAAGGCAACTGGGGGCAAGAATTGACAGTGGGAAGGTTTGCGGGACGACTGGCTACAGAGGGTGAGCATTAATTTCCCCCCCTCTGGCTGCTCTGACCTGCCCAGTTGGCTGTTTCCTTCGTGCATGAAAAAATTCATGAAGAAATTCACGAGAATTCTCAAACAACTAATAATGAGAGGCAGGGGATCCCTGGAGGTACCGATTCCCGTCTCCCTGCATACAGCAGTTTGAGCTCAGCGGAGGAGGTACTGCGGGTGGGGGCACCCCTTGTGCCTTTTTTTTGTTTTTTTTTTTGTTTTTTTTTGTTTCTTTTTTTGTTTCCTTTTCCGTTTTTCTTTTTTCCTTTTTCCTTTTTCTTTTTTCTTTTTTCTTTTTTTCTGTTTTTTGAACTTTTTCCCCCTTTTTTTCTCTTTTTCTTTTTCTTGTTTTCTTTCCTTCCTTCTTCCTTTTTTGCTTTCTCGATTTTGGTTTTTGTCGCCCCTTTCGTTTTCGTTTTTTCGGTCCGGTCTTCCCTGCCCTCGTTTTCGAAATCTGGTGGCAGGCCGACAACCGAAGAACCGTATCAAGAAGGAAACGATACATGCACCGCCTGCCAAGCAATTGGTACAGGGTAGTGACGAACGCGCGGCGACGCAGGGCATACCACGTAAGGAAGAGCACATCGCCACTCGAAAAGTAAGATTCGAACTCATGGCCGGGAAATTAGAGCAGGATCTTGACGAGCGTACAGTAGAGTTTTCTGTATTCTTTTGTTTTCCTTTTTTCTTCGGGAGGCAGTCAGTCTCAAGCTACTGCACTACGGGACACGCGAGGGGGAGTAGTTAGGCGGTGTTTTTTTTTAAGGCATGAACAAAACCCTGGGTGATAACTAGATGCAGAGCCAGCTGGTATGAAACGGAGAGCTACTACGACGACCTTTTTGGACGACAACGACAAGCAGTGACCAGCGGTCTACAGGGTATAAAACTGGGGACGGGCACTGTAGCAAAACATCATTGCGTGTTTCGAGCCTGCAATCTGAAGTGACCTTCTCGATCAAGCGAGCGGGAATTCAAGCAGCGGAGGCAGTCTGTCAGCATGAATTTCTTCATGGACCTGGACCTCGTCGATGACTTGGTGGAGCCCGAGGAATCGGTATAATCCATACACCCCTCGACGTTTTTTACGTAAGGTGCATGGGACTGATATCAGCACACAGCAGCTGACGGTACACAGCGATAGCGGGGCCATTAGCAACCACCGCGCAGCGCGTCGCATAGCTCGCTAGCATGGCAGACAACGCCGAGGCGGGAGGTAGCAGGGCGGAGGAGAGTATAGCCATCTACGCCTTCGTCACGTACCTTTCGCGTCTCGCCGGCATAGCGTTTCTGAGTCTCATTGCGGCCCTACCACCTCAGCCATCCTCGCTTCCTCCGTGGTCTGAGCCCTCCTCTTCTCCTGCCCCCCATTCCACCAGGCCCTCTCCCCCGCAATCCACCAATCAGGTGCACTGCCGTGGTTTGCTCTACGATCTGCCATTACTGGCGGCACCTGTTCCCCATATACACTCCCCACCTCCCCCTCCCCCCCCCCCCCCCCCCCCCCCCCCCCCCCCCCCCCCCCCCCCCCCCCCCCCCCCCCCCCCCCTCCCCCCCCCCCCCCCCCCCCCTGCCGCTTGCCTTGCTGCTCACTGGCTTGCA